ATATTGTCCGGAATACCTAACAACCACTCTGTGCCCGCGACCGCACAGCCAGCCATGTTTTCTTCTACAAAATGATGTTGTTTGTGGGACCTTAGCAACAATATCCAATGGGCGGGGCTTAGCGGAAAGGTCTATAGTGAATACAATCCAATCAAAACAATTTTAGTGAACAGGTTATTTAAGTATTACATTAAATATTAATTAAAATTACATCCTCCAGATAGTCCATTACTCAGAACAGACGTCACAGTGTGGCTATAAATAAGTTTTCAAGGAAATAATGATAGGCCAAATCTATAATGCAGCTTTGTGATGTCATTATATTTAATAGTTTATCAAGATTATCGTTCAGTTGCTTTGAAGTTCACAATGAAGAAACAAGTGTAAAAAATAAATTGTAGGACGATGAATTTTATCTGGAAATCAATATCTATAGTGTTAATATTTACATCGATAACAGGTTAGTATATTTTTTAACTTCTCATTGAGCGATGCATAATCGGTTTGTATTCTATTCTGTATTTCATGAATATACGGTACTCCATTCGTGAGAGAACTATGAAGCTGACAACATGACAGAATCAGTGGCGTAACAGGTTCGCGGGGCCCTCCGAGAGGACAATCGTGTCCTCCCTGCTGAGTGCCTTAGGCCTATAATCTGCCGACTACTCATGGTGGGAGCAAACCATGGGGTCATCGGAGGTGGGTTGTCCTCATCACTTTTCGTCCGCAATGTAATTTCATAAATCAAGAAGATCCCTGTAAATTGTTGAAATGCACTGCATAAATTACCCAGGTCTTAGTGAAAGAGCGCAGTATAACAGCCAGAGGGGGCTTAACAAACTTGGCTGTTAAACTCCTGCTACCCCTATCCCCGCTGCAGGATTTAAAATCAGTTAGGTCCGAGTGCATATCTACTCCAACTCCCACCTACGTTGGCACCTCTGGATGTCCGGATATAACTGGTGGCAGCCTATAGAGCCGCTACGAGTCCCTCAAGGGGCAGCCACAAATTAGCATAGAGATAGTCTACCCACCTCGGTCAAAACCATGGGGATGTCCATGTTAGCGAAATTTGGAAATAATGGGCCGAACCCCAAAATAAGAGCTGGTAAACCTGTAAAGCCAATTGACGGGCTCTTCCCCTTGGCACAGTTGATTCTAGCGATCCCAGATGGTTTATTTTTGCAACACCGCCCAATCCCAATCGGCTCTGGGCAGTAAAACAAGAGTGGCCACTCTGTCAAATGAAATTTTGTTACGGCTCAACGGTAGATATATGCACGACTGCCGTGGATTAACTAACATTTTTGGTGGTACGGTAAGAATGGCTACGGAAAAAATGGCCCCGGAAAATGGCCCCTGTAAAAATGGCCCCAAATGACAGGTAGGTAAAAATGGCCCCAATAATAAAATTTTGTATTAAAAACTGATTTTTAAAAAATCATTATATGCATTTTTTAAAACTGAAATAATTTAGTTTTTAAAGGAATCTAACATTAAAATTGCCATTTACATTTTACTTTTTGCAGAAATTACATATTCAATGATAAAATATTCAAAGATAAAAAAAAAGCCATGAATAACACTTTTTATTTTTTTTTTCAATTTAAATGTTAAAAATTAACAACAGCATAATACTAATAATAATAATAATAATAATAATAATAATAATAATAATAATAATAATAATAATAATAATAATAATAATAAAAATTTGGATTTGTAAATCCATAATCAATAAATTAACATAAATCATGTATTTATTAATACTAAAATAATTTATTTGTGGTCAATTTCAAGAAAGCGGGATCACAGTTTTCCAGAAATTCAATCCGGGTATTGGTAAACCCCACAAACAATGAGTTTGAACATCATGAACATCAAATTATTATTATTATTATTATTATTTTTTTTTTTTTTAAAGAGAGTTCTACAATCGTAATTAAAGGGTTTGGATGGGGTTCGCAGTGTGTTTGCAGGATTGTGGTGTATTTGCAAGTATTTTTTCACAAAAAAAAATCAACATTTTTAACCAAAAAATAGGTTCTTATAAATATTTAATTTTCTTATTGATATACCAATTGGTAAGTGAGGCACACAATTGAATTGTTTGGTTTTCTACAGTGTGTTTTAGGAGGTTTTGGGGATTTAGCAATACCATTTGATCCTACCATAATTACTTTACCCTCACAATTCGTCGCTCACATCACGAACTAACACAATTAAATTCAATTGTGTTAGTTCGTGAAATAAAAAAGCGCGTCAAAATACGCGCTATTGTCGTTAAGGACTTTTTGTGTGGTAAAGAATACAAAATTGCTTGACAACCAATACGCGCTCGTTTTGACGCGCTACTGTGATTTCACGAACTAACACAATCTACTTTAATTGTGTTAGTTCGTGATGTGAGCGACGATTTATTCGAATAACACTTATAATCTCTGAGGCAATCACAATTGAATTGTTTGGTTTTCTACAGTGTGTTTTAGGGGGTTTTGGGGATTTAGCAATACCATTTGATCCTACCATAATTACTTTACCCTCACAATTACACGCCATTTTAATTCTTGGCATAATTGCCATATTTACATAACTATGTATATAATATAGTATCTCAGTTTACATTATTTATTATAGTTTTAGGCACTTAAATTTACTTGGCGGAGAGTAGAAACCAAGTATGCAATTAAATACGTTGCTTAAATAAATGTATTCCTAATTCAGTTTACTTTAAAAACAATATTTGATTAACAAATACTTCTTTGAAGTAACTCTAAGCAGAACATTTGTTGAAGTAAAGTAAGCCTCCCTTTTCCCATACATGAACTTGTCATTCAAACACATAATTGATCCACATGCTTTAACTACTGTTTATTTGCACGGTTTATAACATGTAAATTTATTTCATTTGATATTTAACAAAAGTGAATTTTGTGGTTATCTATGAGTTGCATATTTTGGTAGTTGAAGTACTGTATGTATGTCATTCCTCTACATAGTGGAATAACGTTTTTAAAACTTATTTCAATTATCAAAAAATATTCACTGGCCGTTGTTTTCTGATAATCTCTCAGTACATATTTGCATCTGTTGTGTAACTGTATTTGTTATTGATTCAATTCTTGCTTATTACAGTATTTAAATATTTGAAGATTTAAACAAAAATATTTCTATTACTGAACTTTTTCATTGGGGCCATTTTTACCTACTTGTCATTTGGGCCATTTTTACAAGGTTCATTTTTACCGGGGCCATTTTTTCCGGGGCCATTTTTTCCTGGGCCATTTTTCCTGGGCCTTCTTACCTACATTTATTTTGGTACTTAGATACACGACAGTCAAGTGGTATGCAGTTACTTATGGCGTTCAAAAGTATTTTTATTTAGCTAAAATTGGATTTAACACGTCCGTTGCCACCCCTCCCCCACCTAATTTCTTAGTGAGATGAGAACATTGTAAAAATATGCAACTTTAGATGCTCGGAAATGGCACTCTAAGACATTTTTTGCAATTTATTTTGCTAAATGTAATGAAACTTCAATTCTATACAATATATGCTACATTATGCTCCGCTTTATGAAATCATGCGTAGGGCAAAAAACAGGCTACAGAAAATGAGAGCGGAATGGTTAAAGAATGTGATGTAATAGTTAGCCCGAAAAGCCCCGAACGTAAACGTAAAAAGAAAAGAAAGAGAGTGCGAAGCAAGTCAACCTAATTCCATCGAGCGTACCCTTTTATACGGCATTTGTTTGTAATTAATACTATACTCAGATTACTGTGATATTATCCCCTTATTTAATGTCTATTACATTGTGTTTCATTAAATGTTAGAGGCTTAAGAAATAATGATAAGCAAAGTAAGATAATAAATTGGTATAATGACAAGAAAGCTAATGTAATACTATTGCAAGAAACGCACTTTACGCCTGACGTTATAAATAGATTTAATAAGTTATGGAAAGGTTGATTTAGATAGTGAGAAAATTATCGTAGGAGGTGATTTTAACTGTATCTTAGACCAAAAAATAGATCAGAAAAATAGCTCCAGTAGAAAAGACACATCAGTGTACACAATTAAGCATCTCATGAAAATACTAAATTTGAAGGATGCATGGAGATACAAAAATCCAAATAAAATATAATTTACATGGCGGAGAAAATGTAAAGAAATCTATACGAGGCTTGACTACTGGATTATTTCAAAAAGTATTTTAGATCACGATAGAATCAAATCATGTGAGACATAAGACCTGCGATACTAACGGATCATCAGGTAATTTCCATTAAAATTTATTTTATTTAATTAAAAAAAGGTCCAAGTTATTGGAAATTAAACAATGATTTGTTAAACAATATTTAATATCAAAACGCTATTCGGAAGATGATTATACAAACACAAAAAATGAATACAATCTTAACCCGGAGTTATTATGGGAGCTAATTAAAGTCAAAACTAAAGTCAATTGTGTATGATAAAAAGATAAATAAAGAAAAAACAAAACAAAAAGAAAACTTACAAAACGAAATAAAAATATTAAACGATGCCTTAATAATTAGCGATTCTAAAGAGAATATAGAAACAGAATTGGAATAAAGCAAAAACAGTTAGAACAAATTTATTATAAGGAAACAAAATGTGCATACGTACGTTCACGAGTAAAGTGGATCAAAGAAGGTGAACGCAGCACCAAATATTTTCTTAGCTTAGAAAAAAATAATGGAAATAAACAAGTTAAAAAAATTTTACAAAAATTAAATGGTGAAGTAATAACAAACTCAAAAGACATCCTTCAAGAAGAGGTTAGCTTTTATGAACAGCTTTATGAAAATAAGGGGATTACCCTTAGCGATATAAATACTTATCTAAACAAAACAGATATACCTTGTCTAACAGAGGAAGAAAAAATGTTCTGTGAGGGTACTATTACTTTACAAGAGTGCGATACAGCAATACAAAAAATAAAATTAAATAAGGCCCCAGGGTGTGATGGTTTGACAGCAGAGTTCTATAAATATTTTTGGGAAGACATTAAACAATGTGTTTGTAGCGCAATAAATTATAATTATTTTAAAAATGAAATGAGCAACACGCAAAAACGTGGTGTAATTAATCTACTATAAAAAAGGTGACAAACAATTGCTAGAATATTGGAGGCCTATCACCCTACTCAATAGAGACTACAACATTTTAACGCACATCCTATGTTCAAGACTCCAGAAAGCAATTTCACTCCTTGTAAACGATGACCAAAAACGTTATAGGCATAATTAAAGGTCGATTCTCTGGTGAAAATATTCGTCTAATCAATGATATTCTTTATTATACTGAAGAGAAGGAAATAGAAGGTGGCATTTTGTCCCTTGACTTCAGAAAAGCGTTTGACTCAGTGAGTTGAGAATCCTCACTACTGAAGTAATGGCTTGTAATAACGACATTCATTACAAGGGAATACCA